ACAGCATCTTAAAACCAGGTACAAACGGCCAACATTTGAGGTGGTCGAGATATAATCTTCTCTGGTGCACATACGAAACCCTTCCAGACCTTGACCTCTTCACCTCTGCGAACCTCCAGGAGAAGAGCCAGAGATCTCAGATGTGCCATAACTCCAGAAAAGAGGCCCTCTCTTCTGTAAACAGCTTAAATACACTCATCTTCCCTAAGACAAACATACACAGCGGAGCTCTGCGCACGGCAAAGCACCCGCACTGGCAGGCAAATGGACTTTTTATGGGGCCGCTTGGTTTTAAAAGCACTCAAATAACTGAGAGGATGAGATCGGGGTGTGGTATGACAAAGCGTGGGACTTGGAAAAAGGGACGGAGGAACGCATTCCTGCTTGATGGTGTGTTTTGGCAGCACATGGTGACATTCTGCAGTTCGTTCTTTGAGTTGGTTTTTAAGCCCACCTGGACGTGGCAGGGGGGCCACTATTTGATGGAGCCACACACACACACATACAAGCATACACACGAGCACACACACGGCTGGAAATTCTCCAATAATCCCTCCACCATATAGCTGTTCTATAAAACAGCAAGAAGCCGTTCAACAAGAAAATGTGCAGCGTCAGAGCTTTCCTGACTAAACCTATTTGCCACACATCACCTTATAAAAAACACTCAAAACTTTTCAGTCTGGCATTGACTGTTCCATTCGATTAATACGAGGGAGGAAATCTGAGCTGTGACACTAGAATAAGAGGGAATGAAAGACTTTGCTACATATTTTGACCTTCTGACACTTGAGACTCCAAGGGCGCTTGCCATTTGATTGCTTCCTTTAGATTAACACTCTAAATAAGGAGCACCCATAGATAGAAAGCAAAGGTAAGCTCTTTCTTGTTCTCTGATAGGACTTATTAAATTGCAGTAAATGTTCCAACTACATGCACTACAAAGTTACAGTGTGTACGAGAAAACCTCAACATGTAAATATTATGAAAAGAAAATACACGTTTGCAACATCAATCCTGGTTTGTATGGTTAATAATCAATGGAAATGAATGAGACTGTAGGTCTAGACATATTTAAGTTAAAAGGCTGTTTCCACCTGGTATTAACATGCATTTTCAGTGATTTAATTACAAATGATCAGTTGAGATGCATTACCGTTTTCAACTTGTACAACATATGAAGAGTTCATATGCAAAAACCTTTAAAAGCCATCTGAAATTATTGTGTATTCATTAATTTATTTATTTTTATGGTTGTCATCATTGCATTTAACATGGACAAAAGAGGCTAAGAAAAATGCACATTTTAGGAGAATATTTCAGGCGGCACTAAGAGGTTTTGGCATCTGAACTCTTCATATGCTCTCATGTGTCTTATTGTGTTCATATTTCATTGACGAAAATCTACATTAAACTCTCACTTTTGAAGGAATCCTTCGTGCGACCCTAGAAATACTTTTGAATGAACCTAAGTCACACAGCTAAGACAGCAAGTGAATGAAAAGAATGAGGATTTCTATCATGATCATAGGTTCTAGCACAATGCAGCAATGTAAATATGCCTCGTTTTGATGCACCTTCTCACAACACATCCCGTAACAATAATTTCTGGCTGTTTGAATGCATTCGACTACATTGGTGTTACACTAAAAAACAATCATATCAAAATTGTTTTGACTATCTATGGAAGTAGCTGAAAGAAGGAAAGGATGGACTCCAGTTATACCTATATACAGTGCAATCTGCTTGAAATTGGTTTGACAAAAATACAATTGACATGATATATCAATGCATTAAGCAAAAGTCATAACCAAAAGCTAGATAAACTCCTAAGTTCATGCTTTGCCTGGATGCAAAAGTTCTTATACTAATCTGCTTTAAATAACACTTACATGCATGTCTTTATCTGTGGACTCCAGTTGATCTATTGGATTTTTTGACCAAATTCACCTAAAAATGGTGAAGACAACTCAACTCAATCACTATTTTTGATCTACCTATGGAAGTGGCTGAAAGAGGGAAAGGATGGACTCCAGTTATACCTATATATAGTGCCATTTGCTCGAAATTGGTTTGACAAAAATGCAATTGACATGATATATTAATGCATTAGGCAAAAGTCACTACTCAAAGTTAAAAAAAAAACTCCTAAGTGCATACTCTACCTGGATGCAAAAGTTTTCATATACTAATCTGCTTTAGGTAACACTTAGATTGTTGTCTTTATTAGTGGACTCCTATTGATCTAATTGGATTGTTCACCAAATTCACCTAAAAATGGTAAAGACAACTCAACTCAATCACTATTTTTGACCAACCTATAGAAGTGGCTGAAATAGGGAAAGGATGGACTCAAGTTATATTTGTATATAACACCATCAGCTTGTAATTGGATTGATTAAAATGCAATTGGCCTGATATGTCAATGCATTTAGTAAATGCTATCATCCAAAGCTACACAAACTCTACAGTTCATGCTTTGCCTGGGTGCAAAAGTTCTGTCGTTAGATTTATCTGCTTTAAATAACACTTAGATGCATAGACTCCTGTTGATCTAACTGGATTGTTCACAAATTCACCTAAAAATGGTAAAGACAACTCAACTCAATCACTATTTTTGACCTACCTATGGAAGTGGCTCAAAGAAGGAAAGGGTGGACTCAAGTTATACCTGTATATAGTGCCATCAGCTTGAAATTGATTGAAAAAAATGCAATTGGCCTGATATATCAATGCATTTAGTAAAATTCATTATCCAAAGCCGCACAAACTCCTAAATTCATGCATTGCTTAGATGCAAAAGGTCTGTCTTAACGTTCATCACTTTTAAATAACACTTAGATGCATGTCTTTATCTGTAGTAGACTCCTATTGATCTAACTGGAATGTTCACTAAATTCAGACAAAGAACTCAATCACTATTTTGAAAATATGTCTTCCTAAAATATACCTAAAATGTAAAAAGCATTACTACAGACCACAGGCTAACCCCATCCCCATTTTTACCGTTGGGAACATCTCCAAAGTATGACTTTTGCCAGATTTAACCAACTTCTTAAGACAATTGTGGACTCAAAGTAAAGCTAGGTAAACACATTCCCTCAACAAAAGAGAGAGGATGGAGTAACTGTTTGTTATTGTGTTTGCGGTGATCTCAAGGAGACATAAGGGCTGCCTTTGGTTTATTCACGCACAAACATATCTAAAGCTGTGTTTATCTGTTTAAGTGTACTTCTGGGCTGTTATTTCTCAACATCACAATAGAGGTTACAACAGCTGTGATTCATAAAGAAACACACCTTAACCAAACCAATACACAGAACACTGTATAAAAAAAACAAACACTAAAAGATGGAAAATGTCCTGGCTGGAAATTACAAGCACATTTTCTGTATGTATATTTATGTATCAGTTGAAGGTGAAATTATTAGCATTTATTTTGTATATTTCCCAAAAGATATTGCTGGAGAAAGCCTTATTTCTTTTAATTTGACTGGAATAAAAGGAGTTTATAATTTTTTTAACATTATTTTAGGATCAATCTTACTAATTATTTTTTTTCCCGATATATCTGCAATTTTGTTTCTACATATATATAATACAGTGCATCCGGAAAGTATTGATAGCGCTTCACTTTTCCACATTTATTATGTTACAGCCTTAATTCAAAATGGATTAAACTCATTTATTTTCTTAAAATTCTACACACAATACCCCATAATGACAATGGGAAAAAAGAGTTTTTGAAAATGATGCAAATTTGTTACAAATAAAAAACCTGAAAACTCACATGTACATCAGTATTCACAGCCTTTGCCGTGAAGCTCTAAATTGAGCTCAGGCACATTCTGTTTCCACTGATCCACTGAGATGTTTCAGCAGCCTAATTGGAGTTCACCTGTGGTCAATTCAGTAGATTGGACCTGATTTAAAAAGGCATACACCTGTCTATATAATGGCCCAGGGTTGACAGAGCATGTCAAAACTCAAACCAAGTATGAAGACAACGGAATTGTCTGTAGACCTCAGAGACATAATTGTCTCAAGGCACAGGGCTGGGGAAGGTTACAGAAAGTTTCTGCACCTCTGAAAGTTCCAATGAGCACAGTGGGGTCCATCATCCGTAAGTGGAAGATGTTTGGAACCACCAGTACTCCTCCTAGAGCTGGCCGGCCATCTAAGCTAAGTGATCGGAGAAGGGCCTTAGTCAGGGAGGCGATCAATAACCCGATGTTCACTCTGTCTGAGCTCCAGCATTCTTCTGTGGAGCATCTCTGCAGCAATCCACCAATCAGGCCTGTATGGTAGAGTGGCCAGACGGAAGCCACTCCCCACCTGGAATTTGCCAAAAGGCATCTGAAGGACTCTCAGACCAAAAGAAACAAAATTATTTGGTCTGAGGAGACTAAAATTGAACTCTTTGGAGTGAATGCCAGGTGTTACGTTTGAAAAAAACCAGGCACCACTCATCAGCACCAGCTAATACTATCCCTATACAATGAAGCATGGTGGTGGCAGCCTCATGCTGTAAAGATGTATTTCAGCAGCAGGAACTGGAAGACTAGTCAGGATAGAGGGAAAGATGAATGCAGCATTGCACAGAGACAAAGAGCAAACTTACAGAGCAAAGTATTGAGGTTGTGAATACTGATGCATGTCATTTTTTAGGTTTTTTTATTTTTCAATAAAATTTGCACCAATTTCAAAAACTCTTTTTTTTCATTGTCATTATGGGTGATTGAGTGTAGAATTTTGTGGAAAAAAAAATAATTTAATCCATTTTGGAATAAGGCTGTAACATAAATAATTTGAAAAAATGTGAATTGCTATCAATACTTTCCGAATGCACGGTACCTGCCAGTATAATATCTGTTTTTCATGAATTTTTCTTACAGTATAAACACTTGCATGAACCCAAACTGGTCTTATTAACGCCCAGTATGGCATCCACAGCCAAAAATAAGAAAGCAGATCACTGATGTGTGTGTTTATTTCCTCACCATTCTTCCGGCTTCATTGTTCTGCAGATTCATAAGCGTGCGTGCGTGTTCCACCGATCCGCGTGGGTAGTTCTTCTCACGTTCACGAGCGTCCACAAACTCCCGGGCGAAGCGGTAGCCATAGTTGACGTTGTCCCCGCAGCCGCCCCACAGCCAGTCTCTGGGCAGGTCTCTGGGACGAGCCGCTCGACTGCAGCCGCAGGTGGAAAGCTCACCCTCACGGCACGCTCGACTCACAGCATTCACAACACCCGCTGCGCTGACGGCGTATGTAAAAGCTGTTTCTCGGCTGCCTGCACAAAACACACATGAACACATAATTATGAAACGTTCCACTAGGGCTGTGTGATATTAGAAAAAATATGACATTGCAATATTTTGTTTTTCTATGGACAATTTTAACAGAGAGCTTGAACAGCTCTGGATTTGGATGATTCTGTAGAGGAGTGAATCATGCATTTAAATTAAATAAAGACAATAAAAGCAGAGACAAATGTGAAATAGACAGTGCGTTGTGCTTTTTTTGGGGGGGGGGGGGGGGGGGGGATCGAACAAGATTCAGGCAGAGCAATTGAATAATCAAATGTAAAAAATACACTGTGGTTTTCGTTGTAAAAATAATTCAATAAAAATCTGTTAAAGGTCCAGTGAACTTAAAATAAATCTATTTAGATGTTAGTATCAATATTTTAGTCTTCATGTATATCTATAAGCTAGTGTGGTACAACACAATGACAGAATTCACATTTAAAAGATTTAAAATGATACACAAATGTAAAGCTTTCTTATAAAATCTTGACCAATCAAAAGCTGTCTAGTGTCTGACATGCCCCGCCCCCTTCAAGAGACTTCTCATTTGCTTGATGTACTTGATCTCAACCACTCTCACTGGCAGAGCGGTGATAAAGCTAAATACTATTGGCTGTTTTTTTTAAAGGGAAGGAGCTACACCGCGTCCACCCTCTCTTAGTTTTTCAGTTGCGATTAGGTCAAACATTGAATCAAAAATGCACACTTCAAAGCACTTCACGGGACCTTTAAAGATACAAATGGTACATTTATTGTGCCTAAATGCTTACACAGTCACAGGCCTTGAAAACACATACAAATAATTAACTTTCACTCCATTATGGTTACATTCTGCATGTGTTCTGAACTATTTCTCCTGGATTCCAACATTGCACTTCCTGTGATGTGACTATTGTGGATGCGCAATATTGGTGCTAAAACAATATATTGAGCAGCCCTACATTCCACTGAGAGAAGACACTTTTGCTAAATCATCCAACTCTTGGGTAAAGTATTTTTCTTGATTATTCACTTAGGAAGTAAAGGAACGAGTAAAACAACTCCAGAGCTCCACAGATGGTAACAATCTTTCTGGTAAGCCCTGCAGTGAGAGATAAGATTATCAGAAACGTGTGCACGTACAGGGACAGCTCTTTTTCATTGTTTCATTGTGGTATATATATCTCAATGCAGATGCATTAAAACATAAACAAAATTAGAATTCACTTGAGTTTTGGTCAAATGAGCCATATGATAAATTCCTGCCAAACAGGCGTTTGGTTTATAAAAATTGGTGCTCTTATTCGCATCTGTTGTGCATGTGTTACCTGATTTTTTTCCCTCCATCTAATAAGCCATCTGGAATGCAGATTTCACATACCTCAACAGCACAGGCAATACAGTTTAATAGCGTTTAACGTTTAAAAGCTGTTTAAACATGTTAAAAAGTGCTGGTACAACCATATTTAGAGATAAGCACGTTGTATCAATGCTCGGCGACACAGCAATTATGAGAGGAAATTTGTCAAACAAAAAACTGCAGGCCTCGAGAATTCCTTTTTAATGATCCGGCCTTCCTCAATGCCTTAATGAAAATGAACTTGCCCCTGACTAAACAGGCCACAAGTAACTGTTTTTATGCATTAGAAAACTCTCAAATGCACCACAACAGCTTATAAGGTTTGAGGTGTACCAAACTTCACTTGTTTTTACAAGAAATTATATGACAATATCTTAATGAATCAGCAAATGCAATTCAATCAGTTATTAAGCAACCAAGCTAGAAGATGAAACTGGCTCATAATTATTCTCTTGAGTATTGTTTATAGTGTGATTTATAAGTGTTTACAGTTTCACCTCTAGTTTTACTTTGGACAAGACATGGAAAAAGATATTCAATTTTGGGAATATGGCAAAAAATTTTATATTCAGGGGCTGAACATTTTCAGTCAGATTAAATGGACAGACGGACGGACGGACGGACGGACGGACGGACGGACGGACGGACGGACGGACGGACGGACGGACGGACGGACGGACGGACGGACGGACGGACGGACGGACGGACGGACGGACGGACGGACAGACAGACAGACAGACAGACAGACAGACAGACAGACAGACAGACAGACAGACAGACAGACAGACAGACAGACAGACAGACAGACAGACAGACAGACAGACAGACAGATAGATAGATAGATAGATAGATAGATAGATAGATAGATAGATAGATAGATAGATATGAAAAATACACAGAAAGACATCGGAACGCATTGCAATACTGTTTAAAATGCATAGATAGATATATTCTACATTAACTGCAGTCATTAATGTAATCCAAATTCATATTGTTCAACTTTTGGCTTAGTAAATTATGAACTATTATTTGCTGCCATTCTTTAATATATAATCCAACTACATGGGATTATGATCTCTTGGTCTAATTTTTAAATGTATCGATCTAATTACAAGTATCACACGCTACAAGAGTACATGTTATCAGTTACTGTATTCAAATGAATTAAATTAAAGGTTATTTTCTTTCCTGTACATATGGCGAAAAGCTATTTCTTTATAAATTACACTATAAGGTCTGCAAGATATTAGAAATAATCTGATTGTTTCTGCGATAAATATTGCAGCATTAAAAAGATGGTTGGGATAGCACAATTTGGCAGTTATATGGGGAGCCGAACAGTAATTAGGTACAGAAATGGAATAAATACATTACAAAAAAATTATTTCTTCTTTGTCCTGTTTCAAGTCCAAATGTCTAAAAATTCCTAGATCAAGTAAAAAATATTGTTTTGTTTTTTACCTTAAAAATAAATTAAGAGTTTCCTCTTAAAACAAACAAAATTGTTTGCCAATGTGGTAAGTAAAATAATCTTGTTTTCACTTTGAAATGTAGATATTTGCACTAAGATAATTGACAGACAGACAGACAGACAGACAGACAGACAGACAGACAGACAGACAGACAGACAGACAGACAGACAGACAGACAGACAGACAGACAGACAGATAGATAGATAGATAGATAGATAGATAGATAGATAGATAGATAGATAGATAGATAGATAGATAGATAGATAGATAGATAGATAGATAGATAGATAGATAGATAGATCATTTATTTAACGAATTGCAACACTATTTAAAATGACATAAGAATACTTTGCCGGTTTCATCACACCAAAACAAGCAAACAAACACATGCTCTCTCTCTCTCTCTCTCTCTCTCTCTCACACACACACACACACACACACACACACACACACACACACACACACACACACACACACACACACACACACACACACACACAAAACGCGGCGCGTGTAAACGGGTGTGTACCTGCATTCCAGCGATGCGCCTATTGAATTCGGAGGGCCACTTTTATTGGCCCTTGGTGCCCAGACTTCAAATAGAGTCCCGGATATCCCGACTCTGTGTCATCGTGTCATTGCATTTCAAAAGCGACGCTGGACAATAGCCCGACTAACACCTCAATATAAACCTCGCGATTGACTGCAAATAAGTCCCGTGCTATTTGGGGGGCACAAGAGGGGGCATGTCGCGCCTTACACCTTGTTTCACTGATGAGCGGAACTAACACTCAATTGAGGCAACCAGCGCTGTCTTCTGTGGGAAAGCTACACGCATATATGAGCATGCATTCCAGTACACACACATTGCTGTCGCTGTATGCATGATGCATGGATGATTGACGCGATATGGGACACCTTTATTCGTTAAATGTGCTATTTGCATGTGGTGCACTGACTAAGATCACTCGTTATTTTAAATAAACGACGGTAAATAGCAATCAACAAACTGATGTCAGGAGCACAACGCGTAATTCTCACGGTAAGCAGAGAGCGCGCAACATAAACAAACACACACAATTGTATATTTATCAAATAGCTTAGAAACAGTAGGCTTATGCGTTTTAGACACAGAAATCGCCCATAAAACAACATTAAATTAATCATTTAGGCAATCAGAAAGCGTTTGTAAAAGCAGTCATATGGGTTTTGTTCACAATATTAACCAATAGGATATAAACTGCAGAAAAAAAACGTTGCAATCCATAAAGCAGAATGATAAAATATACAGACGACCATGCAAGAATCAACTGATATTTAGTATTGATTTATAACTCGTGCAATCAATAAGCTGATTAAAAATTAAAATTTATTTATCAATATAACAACCTCATTGTTTATGCATTGTAAGCATATATGACAAAGGCAAGAAGATGAATAGACCCTTTAATATCCTCCAAATATGGCATAACTACATGTTTAACTTATCCGTGAAGCTTCTCAACTCAAACTGTAAATAGACACCTGGTCATGTGGCTTTTTAGGCCTACACCAGCCACATGTTAAAGACAATGAGTAGTTTCAGATATTGTTGATAACTTCTCTGGAGTCTGGACAAAACATATGAACTCCTTTAACATCAATACTACTTAAAAAGACATGCATTCAGAGGTTTCATGTTTTATTATTGTGCATTTCAGAATTTTAGATACTTGTTTTGAGTGCATGTGGGTCAAACATAAGACGTGCATATTGTCTGCATCAAACTATATTTACAAATGTGACTTTATAAACACAGAAAGCATATTAAATGCAAATAAAAAGCCTGATTAAATGTTGCAAACAACTTTTGTAAAAAACACAATGTCAAAATATTGGTGAAAAAAGTTCTGTTGTCATTCAGTGTGACAGACACATTTATGTAAATAATAAACAACATACTTCTCTTGACTAATAAAAATAACAAGTGATCAAACTAAATTATTATATTTTGAAATAATTAAAATGTTAGGCTGGCAAATGGGTCATTTGAAGGACAGATTTAAGAATAAATAATGAAAATGTCAAGTAATTAGTATTTGGTGCTGCAGTGTTATCCAAAGATGGCATCAAATGATTTTTATTCTAAATACACCTAACAAGATAATTTGGCATACACTCCACTTTTAGTCTTTTAGCCATGTACTTTTAGAGATCACCAGGTCAACTCACCTATATGCATGACACGGCCGAACACTGACGTGTTGTCCACTGTACTGCAGTTCCATCGCCTCTGTCTGAACTGATACTGGCACTCTTTGATGCCCGTCTTCGCCCCCTCTCCAATATAAACCATGTGGTCCTGATAGAGCTGGCAGAGCTTCCTCTGACCCTGAGATAGGCCCGTCAGCTGGCTGCACAGAGGCTGTGCTCCAATGATGTACATCTCCGGTCTCTGGATGGGGTTCATGGCTAATGACCTGAGAAAGCAAGACCAAAGCTTCCACCATCAGCTAAATATAGCACAGGATTAAATATGCATGACTATTTGTGACTCTAAATTGTTATTTATAATGTAAAACTTCATCAGGCTACCCTAATGATGTATATGATGGGAAATCTATTAGGTATCATCATTGTAAAATAATAAAAAAAAACATTATTTATTAAGCTTTGATAATATGAAATATTTGGCTGATGCTTGTATGATTTTTAAAATTTTAAATGGATATGCTCCACCTCCATTATGTGAGTTTGTGGCACACAAGAACAATAATGGTCAATCAACACGATCTATTACCAGGGGAGACTGTGCTGTGCAGTTTAGACGTACAACTTTTGCTCGATCAGTCTTCTCAGTTAGAGCCAGTCATTTTTGTAACACTTCCTATTGATTTGAGGGGTGTTAAAAATCATTCAACTTTTAAATACAAGTGAAATAAATGGCTAAAAACTAAATCAAGTTTGTAATCATGTGTAATTCTTTAGTCTAACATTTTAAGAAATTCTTATTACATGTTTTATCCCTTTGTCATATGTAACTTTACTGTTTTTGTATGTGTGATGTGTTTTATGATGTGTTTTTTTTATTTTAGGTTGCCTTTTAAAATCTGGCAGGGGGCAACAGATGAAAATTAGCCCTTGTGGCTAACTCTGGCTTATTTACAGTTTTACCGTGATTATTAATGAGAATTGTCCCTGTTGAATACAAAAAATTCAAAATGTTAATTGCAATGTAAGCAATGATTTTTTATTGTGCACATATGGCAGCAAACTGAGTTTTTCTGCAAGTTTCTTCATGTCAAATTTAAGACTTTTTTAAACCATTATGAAAGAAATGTTAGACTTATACAGGAGTAAACACTAAATATTTTTATTTAGCCTGGTTACTTATGTAAAAAGTTTTTGTATAAATAGAATATTATGTAAAGGAATGTGTTGCTTTAGTTTTCTTTCCCTGATTAGGGAATTTAATTTGGAGAATTTGCTGTAAAATATCTGATTGCTGTTGTGAATTGTATCTTTTCGCAATAAAAATCTTAAGTATATATATATAAAAAAAAAAGTTTTAAGATTGATTATTGGTGATTGGGTGGGTAACTTTACCTGGACACAGGCAAATTAAGGCCAGTTTAAAATGATTTTAAACCTACAACACATATTTAAGTGAATTTAAGACTTTTTAATGGCTAAAATTTTGTTTTTAAAACAATTCTTCACTAAGTCAAACTCTACACACGGTTCAAAAATGTGTGATCCCCATGTCATGGCATGACTTTTATGTTACATTAACACAGTTTCAAAGTCAGTTAAATAGTCATTTCAACAAAAAACTGAATCAAAATCAAGTTTCAACATGTTTTGTAATGTTCAAATTTAAGGTAAAATGAACTGCACCATTAATTTGATCAATGCATTTCATTTTAAAAATGTGCATACAAATCATTACCTTACTTTTACAGTTAGATTATATTTCTTGTGACCACAGCTTAAATCATTAAGTTGAAAACCCTCGGAAAAACCTGTTGTCCATGTTGCCCTTATTTACAAACAGTTTGACCATTTGTTGCCCAAGGTAAATATTGTGACAAAGCCTCCACATTTGTTCTGAGCGAATAGTTTTCTTGTGCATCACTTCATCACACACACACACGCGAATAAATCATGATATCTTTGGAAAAGCGTAACTTTGAATAATTTGCAAACACAATAATTTCTTACCACCACGAGTTGGCGACCACCAGCAGCTGTGAGTTGCAGACGATGAGGGTCACTGCCAGAAGTAGGTGTCCTTGGTTCATTCTCACATCCATCCTTCCTCCTCCAAGAAATTGAAATGCAAAGCGCCTCCTCTGGGGAAACATTTAGGAAATGATAGTAATCCGTTCGAAGGAGCCGTTTCCTTTAGTAGCTTGACTAAAAAATAAAGTCACTACAAGTGAATCCCCTCAAAACAGCAGCTGCGCGTAAAACACCAACACCTTGGTGACCTGAGGCACTCGCGGAGTCTGACATCTGCGGTGAATGTTCTTTTCATAAAAAGCAACCAAAGTGGATGTCGGTGCGTAATGGATGTAAAGTTAAAACCGAGCGCAGATCAGAAGATAAGTGCAAGCATAATCCAAACTCTCTCCTTTCTGTCTCTGCCGGGTCTCTCGATATGAACTAACACTTCTGCGCTCCGATGGCACAACATAACCCTCCCTCCTGCTCGCACTTCTCCGCACCCCCTTCGTTTTGACAATGGAGAGGAGGAGGAGGAGCGCGAGGGGAGCCGAAGACCTGGAGAGGAATTTTGGGGAGGCCAAACAACACAAGAGGGCAGCAGACGAGAACGCGCTTTGATTTTCCCGTGCACAAGAGCGCGTTTTGGACTTTTTGGACACAATGCATTTATTAAAGAGGAACTTGAGATATTCGAGTCGCGCAAAAGTCAAAAGTTCACAGAGGGAGAGGAATAAAAGAGTTAACGGCTCGGAAAATATCAAAGTTCACACGCGTATAATCTCATTCTCCTTAGCACTATAGTTTACCGCAATAAATCCGCGCAAGGGGGAAAGACAAAATCCCGGTTTGACACGCGGAATAAAAGCCACGCATGTGATCTTTGACAGTTCAACTTCTGCTACCCTCTAAATCACTCTCCACAGTTCGGTCATGAGATATCCAATCGCGCTTGGGAACGAGCAAGACTAAACCGTGCCATATAATGTGGGGACAATTTTATCAGCACGCCCGTTTTAGACGAATTTACAACTGATAACCAACGCTGCAGACATAAACAGCCACATTGCACCCTATCCTTCAGATGTGCGGTGTAAGGAATGCAAATACAATGAGTGTTTTACAGCTCCCGACTCTTGGAGAGGTTCGGGAATTATAGCGAGCCCTGTGCCATTCTTGCATCACCCCCACACCTCTCCTTTGAGTGCCGTGCCTACAGACATGTCAGAATTGGTGTGAGAGACGCCACTCAATTTCCGAGCAGTCTGTGCATGATAAAGCGCCTCTCCGGACCCTTTCATCTCCTCTAATCCACACGCCCAGCCATCACCTTTACGCCTCCCATCGCAGACCTAGGGCTGGGCTCCATGTCCCTCCCTCACCCTGGGACCCTGACGCACGGTGAGCCATAAACCAGTTTACTCTGTGCTATATACACTTATGCTGTATATCCTTACTGTACTCTTGTGGTTTCCTCTGTTTTTGTAAACGAATTATCAATGAATGTGCGCATATAAATGTAGCAATAAAATAATAGGATTTATTTTCTACATTGCTTCAGAGGGAATCCACAGCGGGTTGGTTTTTGGTTGATGCACGTAAATCTAAGCATTTCTAATTTTTAAGCATGAGCATTTAATAGTTCATTTGAGTTCATGTTTAATGGTAGTAGTGAGTGACATGTGCTCCCCCTGGTGCACTGACTTAGTTAGTACACTACTATGAGAAAGACAAATAAAATGCACAAAATATGAAGTGTTTATTGCACAGACTAAATACATTTTGCTGTATTAAAAAGAGTTCCAATGAAACCTGCTTCTGGACATGTGAGGTTTCTGTGAGAGACGAGTCTATCCATGTGAGTTGTTATTAGGAAAATAGACAATACAACTAAAAGGTAATTAATTCAATAAACTATGCTGAGTGGATTTTGAGTAGGTAACTTAGTACATTGAGTAGTTTTGACTATGATGTATTGTATGTGTTGTACTGTAAGTGTATACATTTTTTATTTAGTTTTAATACTGTTAAACGTCCCGCCCAGGGACTACAGATATAAATTAGCTTTATAGCTAACTTTGGCACAACATGTCATGTCATACATTGTCCCTGTATAAAACAAACAAACAAACAAACAAACAAACAAACAAACAAACAAACAAACAAACAAACAAACAAACTAATTAATTAATTAAAATAAAGGTATTCACTTAATGAAAAGCAATCTCTTAATAATGAGACCAAAAACTATACTCCTCCTCCTCCTCCTCTTCCTCCTACTACTACTACTAATAATAGCATACATTAATTTGGATTTAATATTTGAATTAACAACAAATAATACATTTATTTAATTAAATGAAACATCACAAATCCATTTGAAATGTCAATGAATAAACATACATAACAATGACATATTTTAGTAATATATAATAATACTAATACTATTACTAATAATATTTTGATAATAAAAATAACAACAACAACAATAATAAAATAACAACTACAACAACAACAACAATATAATAATAATAATAATAATAATAATAATAAAAATAATAATAACAACAACAACAACAACAATAATATAATATAATATAATATAATATAATATAATATAATATAATATAATATAATAAAAATAAAACAAAAATAATAAAAATTCCAAACATAATAATAAAATAAATAATATTTGACAATAATAATAACAACAACAACAACAACAAAAATAAAACAATAATAATAATAATCATAACGGTTTTTATTTAATAAAAAATGCATAAAATTCTGCAGAAGTTTATTCCTGGTGAACTTACATTCCCTACAGAACGCACTGATTGTGTAGATGCATTAAACCACATGGTGACGCTGTTTAGCAAGAAATGAACAAAGACAGTAAACCCAGCAGTTCCATGTTCTCTCGAGGTGTATGCAATAGCAGCGCAACCCAGCGCAATGCCAGTGTAATACACGACTGACGTCTCCTTATCATTATGAGCGCTATGAAAATATGCATAAATATCTTTTTTTCGTTGTTATTGCCAAGGCTCATGTGTATAAATACCACCGCCTGTAATTGTATTTTATTTTTAAAGAGTCCTGTGAGGTGAAAACATTTCGGCTTGACAGATCCCCACTGACTATGAGCAATAACAGTCTGCTCAAACATCACATATGAATGAATTGCACATACACTTCTCACTCTTGCCTGAAACTGGTGCTAATAATACACATTTCAGTGTGACCTTAAATGGACACGTTCCCTATGTCGGTCTATTATATGCCATCTGTGCCGCTGCCAGCTATGGTTGGTAAATGATGACATCACTGGCACGCATGAATAGAATCTGCACATCCAGCTTCTGCTGCTTTTCTGAATCTGGAGTCTGTCCTCATACAGGCTTTGCAGATTTGTACAGACTTATATTAGCAAAGCGGTTGCCAATGCTGGCAGACTATTGAATGAAAGTTTTGTCATCGTTTACTCACACTCATGTCATTCCAGAGCAGGATTATTTTCTTGCTTACTCGGAGCACAAAACAAGATGTTTAGCAGAATGTTAACACTGCTCTGTTCCATATTAACAAAACAAAACGTAGCTTCTTAAGTCAATGTGAAATCAAAGTATTGTTTTGATATTTGCACTGGTAAATGAGATCAAATAAAAACACACCCATACATATAAACATACATTGCATGGCTTCATCTGCTATTATTGACATATATATATATATATACTATATGCTGTATATGCGTAAATGAGCTCCTTTTGGTATTACAGAGACTTGATATGATTTATGACTTTATGAGATATGATTTTGATGTTGTCTGCTGATGTCAAACATATTTTTCTTTACATTTTTACAGAAAGAGCAGCTTGAACATGTTGCTAAATGTCTTCTTCTGTGTCCCAAGGCAAAAAGCACAGCAGCGTGAGTTTTCATTTCTGGGTAAACTATCCCTTTAAGGTTGGGATCTGATTATGTAAACCAGCTCCACATCTGACAGAGAGCAGGGACGAAACAGAGGTGAGAGAAGACAAGGAAAGCGCTGGAGCCGAGCAGACGGTGCGTGTGTGTGTGTGTGTGAAGTGAAGGAGAAGACAACCTGGCTAAAGCTCAGGAGAGCTCTTGAACTCTGTGATGATCCTCCAGTTACACAACCGCACACAAAGAGCTTCGGCGCCAGTGAGAGAGAGAGAGAGTCAGAAAGAGAAAAAGATGCCACCCATACCACGCATAAAACAGCCACTAATCAAAACAATCTGTCCAGAGCCTCGGTCTTTAAATGAATGGGGAGAAAACAAATGCACAAGATGCTCTCGATCACACAGCATCAAACAATCATATGTGGAGCAGCTTTCATAATTGTAATCGAGTACAAATGTTGAGAAGTAGAGAAATTGTTACCCATGGATTCCTTATGGAAATGACATGTTTATTGGTCATCAGCATCTTAAATCCTTTAGGTTTTTATATTTAGATAAAAAAACATGTATTTTATAAGTATGTATGCATGTATTAGATAATCTTTGCATTCAGGGATGGACAGCATTTATGATGCATGTATTTCAAATAAGTATTTTAAATACAAAAATGTATTTTGTAATTTGTATTTGATAGGGCTGATGAAAATAGCTTAATGTTTTGCATCAAAATACTTTAGTGTCTTGTATTTTTGTATTTTTAAAATCATTTAAATGCACCGCTGATAGGTGCTTTGGATGTTCTTGACTCATCCATTTAAAGAAGAATTGAAAAAAAAAATCTGTACAAATACTGTACTGTACAAATAATGGTAGTTTTGGATGGATTGCTGATGCCAAATGTTTGTCGTTAAAACAAACCAACAAATAAAATAAGTCCTACAGTGGCGATTCCTACAATACTTGATTGGCTATTTCAAATGCCAGTACTTGATCAGTATGTCCACCGTATAGTTAATGAAGAGGAAATATGCAGGCCTTAAGATGTCACAACATATGAAACACAACTATTTAATAATCAAAAACTCTTAATTCAGTTTTTACATTGAGTATTGAAGAGTTCGATAGCAAAAAACCCCCTAGATTTCTGAAAAATTCAATTAACAAAATTTGTTGTGTTTGAACCTTGCTTTGTTTAGTTT